TGTATCTGTATCTGTATCTGTATCTGTATCTGTATCTGTATCTGTATCTGTATCTGTATGTGTATATAGCATCCATAGAGATATCTTTATTAGAGTTCCTTAACCTAAATGAGATAATTATAAGCTCACGCTATGACGCACGCGACCTTTTAGGGCGCTTTTTAAAAGGAAGTGCAAAGTAAACTCATGCTTACAAATTTATTTGACTTGTTTTGTTTTATTCAACATTATTCGCAGGGGCTCGCGAAGCAGCTGCTGTTGCTCACTTTTACGGGCAAACAATTAAAGGCAGCAAAATAAAGTAAAAATGCAGCCATAAATAATTTATGGCACATAAACGCACGACAATTGGAAAATCAATTCAAATTTTATGGTAAGCGAATCAAAAACTCGGACGAGTTTAATTACTCACGGATTGGCAGGCCAGGTCTTTAGGCCTGACGATTGCTTAACTGGCTGTCAGCCTGCTATCCTGCTGGCATGCCTGCCTGTCTGCCTGTTGCTCATTCAAATGTCTAGACGCTGCTGAATGGAATGGCAAACAGATACAAATAGACAACCACAGACACAAGCACACACACACACGCAGACACACACACACACAGTGAGCCTATGAAGTTCACGCCCTAAAGGTATTTGGCAAGCCAAGCGAGAAAAGGCCAAAAACAAGAAGCGAACCGTAATTTAATCAAAACAACAGTTTCGATGCCAGTTACAGTTTACAGTTTTCGGCTTTCAGCTTGCCGTCGAGCTCTGCTCCATAGAGCGAATAGCATTTAGATGGGCATTTGTCAGATAACTTGTGACCTTTGATTGAAGCACAAAGGAACCAAAGCAAGGGGACGACAATAGGCGAGCGCAAGAGGCTAGTGTTAAATTAAGTAGTTTATCTAGCTGAACGACATCAATGAGCCAATGCCCAAAAGCCATTGCCAATAAACAGGCTGCACAAGAATGTGCCAAAAGCACAAAATTTGTTTTCTTTTACTTAAAGCTGCAAATAAAATTGATGTTACTTTGTTTTTGGTTTTTGTTTCAATAAAACTTCATAAACAGTGCTGAACCCTTAATTTTGCCCTTGCCCTTGCCCTTGTTCCATTTGGCGAGCAGCGCTCAAGTTTTCGCTTCTTACAATGCGTTTTTTGGCTTTTAATTAAATTACTTGATTGATACATTTGCCATGATGCTGCCGTCTCCATTGAGACCACAAACATTTCACAGTGAGTAGAGGAAAAACCAGGCAACTAAATGGCAATAAACGACCAATGAATACCCTTTACTAATTTTACTTACGATAGGGTTGTTCTAAATTAACTAATTTATTGTCGACTTTACCACTTCTACAGTCATTTTTGTTCTTTGTATACCCTGTAAACTTCAGTATATTCAAGTATAGTCACAGCTACACTCTTTTAAAGCATTCAACCCTCCTCTCTAGGCAAACCACGGAGCCTATTTATAATGCCCAGCATGTCCAGTGCGTAAAGGTAAAGGTTTTGTATATTTTATTAAATTCCCGCACACAAAGCGACCCCAAAAGCCGCGTTAACTAAATTTAAGCCGCTGCGTTTTTTGCCTCGCTGGCCAAAAATGTTAATGCCGCATAATTATAGACGCCTTTTGGCGTCTGCTTTCGCTCTGCCCTGTGACTTTTTGGGCTCGTTTTTTCTCTCGCTCTTTGCCTTTCCACACGCTGCAAAACAAAGTTATTACATTTTCATAAACAAATTTTTGGCAAAGCGGAGGCGACGTTGACGCCGGCGTTGCGGCTCATCAAATTTAATCCGGCAACAAGTTAAAGGCGTCGGCCCATGACACGGACCATGCTCGCGGAGGTGAGGCACTCGCAGCCATCTTTATGGGGCGCTTGGGTCAAAGTTAAAAACACAGACATAAACCGAAAGCGCTGCAGTGATAAACTAATTTGTTTGGGTCCACCCTGAGGCCCACTCACGTGCGGCCGCCCACTGTCCATTTGGCTGCCCTTAGCTTTTAATTGGCACGCGTTTTATATGCCAAAAGACGATCATTATAACTTAGGCATTAAGTTTGTCACGACCTTTTTCCCCCAAATTTACGACAGCTGCCTTTTGTAGTGCCATTTCCCCCCCAAAAAATTTCAGTTGCTCGAACATTAAACTTTCCTTCTGCTCTTCTGTTTGTTGGGGCACAATTACTCAAACGGTTCGATTTGATGGGCTCTAACTCTTCGCTGCGAATGAGAGTAATCAAATATCAAGGCGACCATATATATACCCTGCTCGATTTTGATAGGAAAATTCCTAGAAGTAACTGAAACCAAATATGTGGGAGAGTTTTAAATGCACATAAAATACAATATGCCCTATTTCAATAAGATTATAGGATATGTAAGGGCACTAGGAATGTTTCGAAAGGCTAATAACTTAACTTAAGCATAGTAGAGCTCATAAAATTGCCTTTAACGCATATGATCTGTATATACCCGAATTTGTATTATTGACAGGGTATTTAAAATGCACTGAACAGTGGCGTGGATATCCATTATATGTCAACAAATCAGTCTAACAAACATCCCATCACAATAAAATGGACACGCGGTGAATCAGCGTATACACCTTAGCCTTTTCACTTAACTGACAGGGTATTGAGAACTGAGTTTACATCTGATACCCAGCAAACTGAAATCAAAGTCAAATTTCGTAATATACACAATAATAAAATAACATACCCGACTTCTTCTAAATTACAGGGTATTTTATATAATTCTACATAATTTTCATGTAATAAAACGTAGTCTAATATACTGCACAAGGTTTTCATTGTAAATTACAATGCATATACCCGCTGGGTCATAATTTACAGGGTATTTAACACCAGCATATGCAATTTAAAGGGAATAAAACTTATTTAGCATAGAGTATGCTCACTGAGATGGAATTTACAGGGTATTTAGGAAGCGAGCAAACCCTATTTCAGCATAAAAAAACCTAAGCTCATCACATTTCGTATCATCCTTTTTATACCCTGAACCCATTGAAAATGGGAAATCAGGGTATAATGGTTT